TGTACTTTTCTAATACAGTACTTGTGTTTTTCAACAATTCATTCACCGATTGAAGGGGTAATTTTTTAGAAAATGGCAGAGGCTTAAATTTTGTCTGCATTATTAATATTAGAAGGGATTTACCCCTTCTTAGTGAATTTTTAGTAACAATAAATACATTTTACATTTTGATCTCTTATTTGAACAACCTTTCCTATTGGCCGATGTCTAAATCTTATTAAGGCGAGATGAAAAGGCATGACATAATGTTACAATTTTCTTTACAAATGACGAAGAGAGTCATTTAAGGACGGTGTTTTCATTGCTTCTCAAACAAAACCTTTGTAAATTTAACAACAGATACATTTTTTCTGGTTGTATCAATGGCACTCTTTGTCATCCAGATTAACACTGTAATGAGCATCGTCCTTGTTCATAATGTTAGAAAAACTGGCTTATAAATTGCTGTGCCGCAATAACAAGTGGAACCCAGCTATAACAGGCAATGCTATGTGAATTTAGATGTGACTGGTCGCGGCATGGGTCATGAAATTTGGTATATTCATTAGCAAATGAAAAAAAAAAGTCAAAGTATGTGGGGAAAAAAAGTTTTAAAATAATTAAATTCATTGTGCTGATGAGACAACGTATTGATTTGAATATAACAGAAACATGGGGTGGTTCCTGGTATTTGAAATTAATAGACTGTCTACTTGTTGGCTAGGCTTGGAGTGTTATTAGATGCAATCAGTTGAGAGTAATTATATGCTTTATTAGCAGTAAAACTGGCAATGCTATTAGCATGTAATCAATGCTTCTGTGAGACATTGTTAGCAATGAGTGTAGGTTATTATTAGCAATGGGGATAGGTTACCAATATTATTGTCAATGAGGTTGCATAAAAATTTGCTACACCGTGTATTAACACAGCTCTGCTGTTAAGGGATGGACAGGTAGTAAAAATGCTAAAATTTAAACAAATAACTAAGTCAAAATAGTTTTTGCTAATCACAATGGAAAAGCAATAAAAACGCTTTAAAAAAACAAATGGGACAAGTTAATTAATATTTTTTATGCTTTTGATGAGAAAATAAGGGTAAAATTTGGCAATTTTATATACTTATAGGAAAAAACTTATCTCAATAACCACCCATATGAATTCAATGAAACTTGGCATAAATATTGTAAAGAGAACATTGCACAATGTCACAGAAGGAAATTAGCATAACTGTAAAAATATATTTTTTTGTGAATTGCTAAAAATTATGTCGAAAAATAATCAATCGTTTATGTAAACTGTTTTATCCAAAATCAAAATATTTTTTTTTTGTCTCTAAAAAAATATAATAAAAAACTTCTGTGACATTGTAGATAAACTTGTTAGAAACATGCGGTGCAAATTTCTTTATAATCTGATAGGCCATTTCTGAGATACTCTGCTATTAATAGGTTCAGATTTTATGGGCCCCATTATCACATTATGGCAGGGTTCCACTGTACAAATGAACAAAAATGAAAATTCTATGTAAGAAAAAAATTAGTATTAACCAGCAGTTCAGTAGCAACATGTTTCTCTGAGATTACAAACTCTAAATTTTAAGTATTCCTTGCAATTTTTATTTTTTTTATTCGAAAGCATCAAGTCAGAGATCATTTGAGCATTTGCAAATAAAGATTGAGAACCACTGGTATAAAATGAAATTGGTATTTTAAAAAAAAAATACAAAGAACCCCAGGGACAATATTTGTTCTCTTGTCATGGCTTAATAAGTTAAACAATATATTAATTAAAATTTATTTTGTGACTTTGGTTGGCAAGATAAATATGTATAAATTCAATATAACAATAATAATAATATGTAGTAAAATCCACAACCTGTTAGTTCCACAACCACAAAATGTTTGTATCAAATAAAAATGATGTAATATAATTAATAAATAACAATAGCAAGATTGGTGGAATACTTTAAACACCAATACGTAATTGACACCTTAATAAAGTAAGCTTTCATTGAACTTTATTACAAGCAGTGGTGTGTCATAGTGCTTCCTTATGGCATTGTAAACTTAAATTAAGATAGCATTAAATAGATGCAGTCAAACGGTTAAGCTAGCACTGTTTTAAGGAGAAAAATAAGTTTGCAAAGGAGATTTATTTTTTCAGGACTTATTTTTAAATCTCCTTTGTAAACTTAAGTCCTGAAAAAATAAATTTACTTAAACTCTAAGTGGCCATACACAACAAACAATGAGTAACGATGTTACCAATAAGCAAAATAATAAAAACTATTTTGCAAAAGTCCATAATAATTGTAAAATTATTGTTCAAACTTTTCTGTAAAGGTCATTTTCTCCAATATTCATTACTGCTTTAAATCGATGTATCTTCATAATGATCAGAGGTTCATCCTCAAAGCGGACACATTATTACTAAACCAAATAATTTTAGAATTATTACGCAACAAATATAAACAAAAATGTATTAGATGAGAGAAAGGGGGAAAAAATGAGAGTGCTTTTAAAAGCGGATAAGAATGTAAAGAAAATTTGTTACTTTCTATTAATATAAGTACATAATGTGATCAGAAATAAATGGATGAATTCCTTAATATTAAAAAAAAAACAACATAATTTCTGAAAATGCATAATCAAATATAGAAGATATTTTTTTAACACAAATTTTATAATGTTAGAAAAAGAATCACAATTAAATCATTTTCTTCCAAAATACTGGCATAAAATTTGTCTTCTACTCTGGGTAAAATAGGGATGGATACAATATAATTGACTACAATGATAAATAACACTGAACTATGAGAGAGAGAAGGCTCCCATAATGCAAGATAATTTTACAGAAAATAATATTCGAATCAATTAACAGCAGTTATCTGATCTTACATTGCAGAAAGTTTGTTCTTTGTTAAGTATCAAAAAAATAAAATACATTTGGATGGAATGTTTCCCCACAAAAATCTCGTCAGCAACAAGCAAAGAGCAATACAAGTGATTCAGATCTCCAGATTGCATTGTACAAAAATCAGCAGAACTTACTTAATGTAAAAAATGAAGCAGTCTATAAAAACTTAGGAAATTCTGAGTAATTTCCATCTATAGACTTGACAAGACATAAGAGCATGATTTTCAACCATTTTGTTATTGTTTACGACATCTGAATTTCAGTTCTCAAATCGAGTGTTATGGCAAGACAATTCTGCACTTTTTTTTGGTGTTTTATAATACTTCATAATTCTGTTATGAGAAGTCTCCCTTGTGGTGACTGCACCTGGTGCACCGCTTACCCACGTCTTGCACAACAGTGTGTTGTCCTGTTTTAGGAAGGTTTCTAGCATACCCCTTGCCAAAGCAATGGTTAACTTTTGATTACTAAATTACTATACTATATTATACAAAAATGAGATTGACTTAATTCTCTTTTCAAACTATCCGGTTTTAATAATAAATAGTGCAATCAATCTGCAAGGTAGGTGGGCCTTATGTGTATCTTGTTTACACAGGATTTTAATTATTTGGAAGCACATGCACAGCAGTAAAGATCTAATTCTTTTGTTTAATTTCAATTTATTTATGAATATTGATAATCCAATAACTCCTTCAAACTCATGAAAATTAAAAATATATCTCTAGAAAATCCTGTATGGCGATTGAGATTCAAATGTGACAGAAAATGTGTTTTTCCCCAAAAGCTTATTAAAGTAACAAATACAAGATAGCCTTTCCACTGGCAAGCAATGTGTGTGCACAGAACATTGCTAACCCACTTATCTCACACAGTAAAGGCTAGACATAAATTTATGACATACTGCATACAAGGAATATTTTATATTAAACATTTGTCATTGCTATATGTAATATCGTCTTCATTTCAAGGGAATCCAGTAAATTTTAAGATAAACAACCATGGCTTATTCTACTGCATATTTTAAATAATTTTTATCACATTAAATTGTTACTGACAGAAATGGTCAAATAAAAACAAATTGCTTAATGGTACATTTCTCAATTAGCAAGTTTCAATTAAAAAAAATAAATTATTTTAGGATATGCACACAAAATCTTTTTATTTAAAAAAAGCACCTGAAACATTGTTATGTAATATTATTTATTCATTACGTAGCTAGGAGATGTTTGTTTTCAAGCAAAAAGAAAATCTGTAACTCTTTGAGTCTGTTCCAGGATTTACATAATATAACACCATAGCATGTGATACACATGGGGTATAAAATCTTCCATCTATACATAAAGCAATATTACAAGAAAAAGTGTACTGCAGCATTTTCATTAGAGCAGTGGTCAGCTGACTCATTAGTCAAAGGAGCCAAAATCAGCAGCAGGACAATTAAAAAATTTTGAGAGCCAAATTTCTTTTCAAGAACCTATTAAGAACCATGTTTTTCGGAGTCAAAACCAATTTGTGGCCAACTGGCCGAGCCGCACCAAGGTTGCTAAAGAGCTGCGGCTCGCACTGCCCTAGAGGACAAAACGCTAAGCTCGATGTTTAAGTTCTTATAGATGTTTTAATAACAAAAAAATGACAACCTTCTAAATAGTTGTAAATATATTCAAATACAGCTGTCTACTGGCCTGGATGAATCATTTTATAATAATTTTTATAACAGGTGTTTTATGGAATGTGTGAGTCAGCATCAATTTTTTCTTTCTATCACAGGCTGCCAAACCAATGGGATTGGATTACATTTTGTGTTTCAAGTAATTTAAATATATTTATTTCACAGAAAATTTAACAACTTGAACAGGTATAGTTAAAAAATCCTTTGAAGCAACATTAAGTACATAAAATGTAAAGTGGAGGCTTGTCTCGGACAAGGGAATATAAGTGTACAAATAAAATGTTAAAACCAAGCATAGAATCTGAGCTGGAGACATTTCCTCATTGAAGAAATAGACTTGGGCTTTGTTTCATCAGTTCAGGCTGTGCCAGTGATTGTGCACCATAGTCAATAGATCATGGACCTAATGATGTGATCTCAAACAATTGAATATCACAAGAGTGAGCATCTCTGTGTTAAAACTGACTTTTTACCTCCAGTTTTCTTCTTGGCAGCTTGAAGACTTATGGTGTTTTTGTCAGAGCTGTGATTTGGTGAGTCCATATGGATCAACCCTGCAACCAACATTCAAACAGTCAATATAGTTTTTCTTCTTAAACATTAAATAATTGAGAAAAAAAAGAAGAATCTTTGTATTTTGTGCTTATCTTTAAAAGAAAAAAGCAACAACATTTATTCATGTAATGCTACATAAACCCCCCCCCCCCAAAAAAAAAACCCAACAACATTAATTTATTGTTTTATAACTAAGCATTATTAAAATTGACAATTAGTAATGAAATATAGTTAAAAATTAAATAATTGAAAAAAAAAAAAAAAATCTTTTTATTTTGTGCTTATCTTTAAAAGAAAAAAGCAACAACATTTATTCATGTAATGCTACATAAACCCCCCCCCCCCCAAAAAAAAAACCCAACAACATTAATTTATTGTTTTATAACTAAGCATTATTAAAATTGACAATTAGTAATGAAATATAGAATATTTGAAAAGTTAAATTTAAAAAGATAACTTGAATTTCTTTTAAGGAATTAAATGTTATATTCTGATTCCCTTTTTTTATGTTTTCAATTTCCATAGCAACAAATAATACATGTAACCAAGTTTTTTTTTTTTTTTTTTTTTTTTTAAAAAACATTTTTTTTTTTTTTTTAAATTTCCAAAGCAACAAATAATAAATTTAACCAAGTTTTTTTTTTTTTTTTTTTTTTTTTTAGAAAACATCATTCTTTTAGTTGTGTCTACACATCATGGGAATGGATTGCAAATAGGGAATTTTCTTTTAAAATTTCCATAGAAATAATAAATAAATGTTTTTTCAATTGACAAGAACGTCACTTTTGCCAAAAATAAAGTTAGAGTTGTCCAAAAAAAACAGTTTGCAGGGGGCTGCCATAAACCATTTATGGAGCAAAATACTGATAATTTTGAGTGGTTCATTTCTGATCTGTAACGGCGGACAAACATCTGTTCAAAAATTAGTTATTTGCCCTTGGTTACCATGTTCTTTAAGGCTATATGAAAATATAAAATAATTGGGTTCTACCTTCACCTATTCTCTGTGTACTGGTTTCATTGTCTATGACAGTGTTTAGTCTCTCTATGTATTTCCCAGCCAAGTACCTAAACACTGAGGAGAAGAAGCAGAGCTCTATTAGCATTTGAAAAGTTCCAGTCACCAAGGGAATATCACGAAGCACTTATGATGTGACACAGCCAATTCTTATCAGGCTTCAAGGATCAATGGTTTTCTAATTTTATTAACTATCAGGCTACACTTTACAATTAATAAAAATTTGTGTGGCACATAAAATTAGATTCATTTCATAAAAAAAAAAAAAAAAAGAATGAATTATACAATTCAATTCTTATCATGCTTCAAGGATCAATAGTTTTATAATTTTATTAACTATCAGGCTAAACTTTACAATTAATAAAAATTTGTGTGGCACATAAAATTAGATTCATTTCATAAAAAAAAAAAAAAAAGAATGAATTATACAATTTGTTACATAACTTAAGCTACATTGGTTGGCAAACAATGCACTTGTTATATGATATGTATAGTATAGTAATTTGAACAAGTTGTATTTCTTTTTTCATTTTTAAATGTACTATTAATGAAACAAAAACTTTACAATAAAAATTGGTAATGATTAGATTGTAGTACTTGGTTTTAATGCTATGCAATACAAAATTTGCTCATACAATTATTATTTCTTTCTAATTTTCATATATTTTAAGTATTTGCAAAACAAAAAAAAGATATGCCATTTATTCACTCTTTGTCATTCAGAACATCTATCTTCTACTCATCAATTTACCTTCTTCAACATTTAAATTTTCCTTTACTGATGTGGGATAGAACCGTAGTCTCAGTTTCTTTGCTAAATCTTCAGCTTCTGTCCTAATAATAGAAAAATAAAGCTGTCATTTATAATATTTAGATTCTCCTAACTTACCTTTCAAACAATTTTATTTTATATTTTATCACATTTTCTTTATTGATGAAAACCTTAAATTATTTAGTAAGTTATAAATTATTTAAAATGTAGTCATTTGTAAAATAACATGAGATAAAACTTACGTGTGTACCAGAGCGTCATCTATTAGGTCTATTTTGTTTTGCACTATCACCATTGCAATCTCCCCAACTTCATTTTCAACCTGACAATAATCAAAGATAACTGGAAATAATTAAGATTTATATTTTTATAGCCATGTTTTTAAAAATGAATGCTTACAGAATTATTGTGGTTTATATTTATAATTGTAGCACTTCATTTCTTATTAAGGCCTTGATATATGTTTATATATTCTTATAAGTCATACGGGCATTCAGAATGATGTAGAAATTGAGGGGAAAAATATTGTTACCATTAACATTGTGCGAAATGGATGATTCAACATTACAATACACAATTAAAACAACCAGGTAATAATATCATCCACATCCATACCTTTCTCTTCCAGGATTCAATGGCCTCAAAGGATTCACGATCAACAGTTGAAAATGCAAGGACACAAGCCTGTGCACCTGAAATTATGAATTAAAAAATAGGTTAAGCAAAAAAATATCTTACAATGAAAATTTTGCTGACTACTTCTTCTTTATTTAAGGGCTCATGATCAATTTATTGATAATTCTGGCTCCTATGCATGTAGAGGGGATTTGCACTGTTTTTGTGCCTGGTGTTGACGAGGATATTTCACTGGTTGCAATGGCTACTTAGTGATGGTATCATGCACTGGGGGTTGAAAGGCCTGAGGCAATGGACGCAAGAATTGTTGCCTCAACTGTTCCTTCTGGAAGCTTGTTCCAGTCCCTAACTGTCTCATCTGGATATCATATTGATTAGAAAGTGTATGCTCTTGTACAAATTTTAAAAGTTAAACAAGCATGTGCTGCTTTTGTTACCTCTGTAATAAGCTTTAGTGATGGCATCAAACTCTTCTTGTCCTGCTGTGTCCCATAACATCAGACGCACATCTTCACCATCTACCCTAGAGATGAAATAACTTAACTGATTTATTTTTTAAAAATCTTTTTAAAATTCTTTTTAAAGGTGTTCATGATCAAGCACACTTCCATTAGCTTTTTATTTCTTTTAAATAGCTTAAATACTCTATTTAAAATAGCTTTTAATAGAAAATACATTTCAACAGCTCTTACTCTATTTGCCTTTCAAGAAAATCAACACCAATGGTCTTCTTGTAGTCCCTTGTGAAAATTCCTTTGCAGTAACGTTGAATCATGCTTGACTTTCCAACAGCTCCATTGCCAACAACTACAACCTTGATGGCCACCTCAACCTCCTCCTCCCTCATGGTGGCACTTTCTGAAGAGTTGGAAGCACCCAGTGTTCTAAAGACCTAATGTTTTAAGAAGTGGCACCTTCAAATGCTGGAGACTTGTTTTAGAAGCTAATGTATCTCCTAATAGCTGGCAAGACTCATTATGTAGTACTAGATGAAGTATTGGCTTCTAACCAGTACAGACTCTAATTTTGTTTGATTCATATAATTTCTAATCTAGTTCTAGATAACAACTTGAAAATGGTGATAGTGATCTCTAAAGTCTACAAGTAAAAAAAAGACAGGAAATACTTATTATTACTTTATTAAAGTAATTCTTGCGAGCTAAGGCTCTCTTTTTTTTGTTTACTTATCTTTCATATGGTTTGAAATGTCTTATCTACTAAGTGATATAAAAATAACTTTATTTAAGTTATCTGTAATGAAGAAAACCTACAATTTTTTAAAGTTGATTTAAAACAAAACTGTATTACAAATTCTTTAGAAGGCCGCCATTTTGGATAATCGTTTACTTTCAAAGTTAAGAAAATGGAATTTTTCTTTTTTATTTAACTACCCTAAATTAAACAACAAAAATAACTTAACCAGGAAAGAGTGGAACATAAGGTACGTTAGGCATGAAATAAAAATAATAAAATATATATATATAATAATAAATGGAGAACGTTTCAAAACAAGAAACAACAACTGATTTCTATTTATTTGTTTTTTTTACATTTTTATGCCTTGTCTGCTGAAGATGTTTTTTTTTGGCAGTAACATTTATTTTATTGTCCCGTCTTTTCATTTCAACCTTCAACATAGCTTGTCCCACTATTTTCTCATCACAGCTTGAACGCAGTCCTTCATTTTATAACATAACCAGTTTATAGGAATGGGTTTGAACTTTGCTAAAACAAGTAAAAATGGCAGCTAATAACAATCTCCTTAAAAAGTGATGAAATTTAAAAAAAAAAAAAAAAAAAAAAAAAAAAAAAAAATAAAAAAAAAAAAAAAAAAAAAAAAAAAAAAAAAAAAAAAAAAAAAAAAAACGTATTTAATAAACTCTTCAAAAGATGTTAACATTTAATGTCTGTTAACATTTGCAACTTAAAGTAAAAATTAAAAAAAAAAAACAGGAAGTCAAAAAAAAACTTATTTAAAATTAAAAAAATTAAAAAAAAAAAAAAAAAAAAAAAAAAAAAAACGTATTTAATAAACTCTTCAAAAGATGTTAACATTTAATGTCTGTTAACATTTGCAACTTAAAGTAAAAATAGTTTGCAACTAAATTTTCAATATATAATTCCAGATATCCCTAAACTTTTTTTTTAGTGAAGCCGCAACAATTTTAAAGTACAACAATTGAGAATCCTTTTAACAATATGATTTTACTTTTACACTGCATTTTCGTTGTTTTTCCATATGAAAATGAAGTATTTTATTCATTTTACTAAGTTTAACTGAATTAAAATTAATTTGTAAATAGTTTAGTTTCATGATCTTTGACTTAGAGATAGTACGAAGTTAGAATCCAAATTGAACAAAAATACATAAACGAACAATTATTATTCAAACTTTATAAATAGTTTTGGATAGCCTAATGTTAGAGTTTTATATATGTTTTTCTTTTTAATCATTTAATTTTGTTAAAAAATACATATTTCAAACAGAAAAATAGGTTACAAATTAGCCAAAATTAGCATGTAATTACACAAACATAAAAGTCAACATTGGCCATTTAATTCTTTGAAAAATAATGTCATTAATGTTGATTCAAATCCTACGTTTCAATGTTGAATTCATTCTCTAAATTAAAAAAAATAAAAATATTATCATTAGCTTTGTATCATATTATGAGTAGCTTGACGAGGAATATCCTTTTCAATTTGCGTCATCACTGATTCTAAAGCCAGATAATTATTTTATTATTTGAATCAACTAAAAAAAATTTTTAATAGTGCGGTAAGTAGCTTTATTCTGGGTAGTCTTTTTTCTGCGAAAACAAATACATTACACTAAAACAAACAGAAATGGCGACTCGCAGAAAAAGTGGTGAATAGTACGACTAGTCTACTTAATTTTGTTTGCTAACAGTTTTAAAATTTTAATGAAACTTATTCTTTAGTTGAATTTTTAAAATAATTACATAGGTAAATGCAGACAATTCGTGCCATGAAGTATCACACGGCCGCCTTCTTGGTTGCCATGACCCGTGAACTTTTATAATTCACGTCACTGTCACTAAACTGGTAAAAGTGCAGTTCAGGTGCGTATATTATTTCTTAGCGCATTTCGTATTTTAAAATTTTTTTATCACGTAAACTTACGTGTATTCTTTAATAATTAAATACAAGCAGTTATAGTTAACTCATTCTGAATTATAAATCACATCTTTTCTTTTTATTTTACTTCTAAAGAGTCTTTAACCATCCCCCAACCAAAGTGACACAGCCCCATTTGTTTGTATTTTTCTTTTCACCCTATGCCAGATTTTTAGCCACGTATAAGTTAGTATGCTAAACGAGATTTTCAAACTGTAAGCATATTCACAAAAAAGAATGAAATACTAGATTTTTCATTACGCACAAGCCTCCCCCCCCCCATTCTTTTTTTTTTCCTCTCAGAGCGCTCGGAATATAGGGGCTGTCCTTTGAAGTCGGGTCGGGGGGGGGGAGGGGGA